GGAAATGTTTTCAACCCTTCATAATCAGACCGGCGAATCGGTTGACCGCTAATAATCCCATATTAAGGGACACATTATTTCCATAAAAAGCGCGTGTTTACATAAGGGGAGAGGGATTTTAATTATCTGCAGTTAACATCAGGCTGGGGTGGCCGGCTGGTTTTACGGTCTGATACTGCGTCGCACGCACGACGAAAACAGCTGGCCAGCTTCGTCGATTTTTCATCGAGCCGCGTTACCAACGCTCGGAATTCCACCGAGGCCAGCCCCACGAATTTCTGTGTGAAAAACTTAATTAGCGACTATCCCACCCCAAAGACAGCCACTGTTCTCCCTCTCTCTTTTTCCGTGCGCGTTACACTAGCGTCAGACATCTGCTAACAACGCAACAAAACGACCGTTTATAATCTACGACCAACCTTCCTGGTGTGGCCGAGAGAGGCAGGCAACCAGCCATCCCCCTAACCCTCGGCCAAACCACCCCACGCCGCAATTTCTCCCACCGTGCCACGCCACTACTGCGGCATAAATCCCAAGTGGAGAGAATATTACGTCCCGACGACCACGGAGGAACTTTAAACCCACCTTCTCACGCGACTACTACACGCGCGTTTTCAACTATTTCACTGGACTTGCCCAGTATTGGTATATTTTATTCTTCTACTTTTTTTCTTTTCTTCTTTTTTTTTTTTTTTTTTTTTTTAAGCAGAGGGTTTTTTTCAAGCAGTGAACTGTGGACACGCAAGTGGACCAAACGATAGAAAAATAGACAATTTAGAAGTTGACTACTAACGTGTGTCACGCGATATCTATAAATTTTCGTCAATTTTCGTGGTATGTATAAATATAAGTTTTAACGTGGAATTTATTAAATTATAATTAATTGTTTTAAATTGAAATTTATAATAGATATTTATTAGTCGAGTGATAACTCTGTTTTGTTAGAATGAAATTCTAATTGCAGAGGATCTGGTTCACGTGTCTATACTGAAGCAGTGAGATAATGGCGTTTTAGAGATTTAACGAGTTTAAATCTTCATCACACGCGTCGTGTGAAGCCAAATCTAATTTTGTTCAGTCTTCTATCGTTTTAATAACCATTCTCTTTTATTCCTCTATTCCCCACGCTAATTTATATATTTATACATTTACTTTACATTCCCTAAATCGCGTGTTTTACTAGCATATGTTTACGCGAAACGATTATTCTTGAAACTTTTCTCGATTTCTGTTGATTCGCCTTCATTCTTAAAGTTTAAAATGGGAATAAAGAAGCGACGCGAAAGTCTCCGATGTTTTCAGAGGACCAGATTTATTTTTGTACTCGAAAACAGGGGGAAAAGGAGAGCGTCCAGTTTCAGCATTTCCCAGAAAACGAAAAAAATTTATTTTCCAATGTACATTCAGCAACTCCGTACAACTTCTCGTGTATCAAAATAAACTCGGTAAAACTCGGGAAATTTTAGCTTGCAATGCGATACAGTCAGCGATAACAAGCACTAAAAATTTGTTAAAACCGACATCGTCCCTTTTCCCCCCTTGATTTTATTTTTCGACAAATTCGAATTTGTGTTTTAAAATTAACCAAATTGATTGTCGAGTCAACCAAACTCGAATCATCACGAACGATTTGTTCTTCGACCGAACGATGAAAATATCTGTCTGATATTTGCATAAATGGATGCCTTTTTCAAGTTGAATCCACTCATTAATTAGCTTGTTTCATGTGTGTGATTAGATTTAGAGGTAGATGGCTAGGAATGGTATTAAACGGGTTGTACTTCGTGCTTATCGAGTAATCGATAAAGCTCTTGAAAACTGTACTCGAAGACTGAAATGCTGCATTAAAAGGGAACCTTCGTTTTACTTTGGAAAGTAGATGCTTCATTCATCATTTATTCTACGATATGAAAACCCGTCGTTAGATTAAAATTTTTGAATTTCACTTGCCGAGTTCCTCAAACTTCGTGCCCCTACCTAGCACGAACATTACCAGAGAGGCACGCGAAGTATTTTTGCAAATCATTCGAGGAATTTATCGTTCGCCTAAAGTCACCCGTTAAATCTCGAATAGTTAGTTGAAAGAATAATCGTTCTTAATTGTTTCCATACAACACTTGCTCTGAATTTTAAACGACGAAAATCACCAAAAAAATTTCTACTTGACGAACGAAGCAAATTTCTGCTTAAATTCATAAGAATTTCAATCCTTAGTTCAACGATCCCAATTTTGAATTTCATCGTACCATTTCAATTACAATTGTTCGTAATTATAATTTGCGAAAGTGTGAAAGTTAAATTTTGGTCGAAATAATTTAGAAAAAAAAAAATAATAATAATAATGTACAACTAACTTTCGCATCCAAAAGATCTCACATAGCACTTTAAGTTTAAATATTACAAGCGTAATTTATATTTTATACACGTTTACTCTCATTTTGTAACATTTTCACCTCAAAAGAATTGAAATCCAAAGGTAAGAATCGCCTCGAGAGGATTGTCGATCTTTTGACCTGTGAAACAAATTCGAACTATTATTGGACGCAGAGATCTCAGTCTTGTAGGATCAAGAACGAATTCGAAAATTGAAAGTGAAAATACCTGAGGTATTCCGAGTACCTCGAAAACGCTCAATGTACCATCTTCCAATGATTTTCCTCAGACTACTACTGCGAGAAAATTAACGAGCTATTAGAGTTGCGAATGGCGCGTGTGTTTCGAAGAGGTTCATTTAATATTCAGCCGCGTGATAGGTGAAAACGCGTAGAATGGCATGATAATTCGCTGGTACAAAGGGTGGTGTCCGGCTCGATGCCATGGAACGGAATTCAAACTCGAAATTCAAAAGCGATGCGACAATCCTGACCGGCCGTAATTTATCCCTTTTGTGTCTAGATTTGTTTCCAATGAAGACGCATTGTGTAAAAACGTACAATGGCCCCCGGCCAACTTCCCGTTCCGTTTGGTAATTAGCCCCTGACGATTCATTCGGGCTTCATCTTAAAAATTCATCGCTCACTGGCGTCATTTCGGCAAAACGTCATCTGTATCCTGTTACTTCTTTTCATTTATTTATTTTTCTTTTATTTGCTCAGGTTTACCGTACTTTCTCAAGTGAAAAAAAAATAGAAAATATTAAAGATATTACTCGAAAATAGTTTCATAAAACAAGATTCAATTCATCTATTACATCAGCTACCGTATTTTGAATATTTCGTATAATTTTATTGTGTACCATATGTTTACATTTAAAAATTTCCAATAAATGTTCGAAAAAATGACACTAAAATTGACACCGTGAATCCTTACTTAATCGTTCAAAGAAAAATCCATCTGTAAAAAAAATTGCCAATAATTATATCGACTATCGGTTGGTCACGTTGCTAAGGAAAGGGTTAATCCTACAAGGATTAATTCCACAGTGAACGAGAATCATCGCGTTTGCTTCCCCATGGCACAGTAATAGAAAATCCAGCAAGCTACCATAAGTTAGGAGGTATTAACTAAAATCTATACCGAGGGAGGATCTATATTCTATGGTGAAGATCGATTAATCAGGCTAGCTAGGTGCGATTTATCTTGCTCTACGCTTTACTCCGCGGAGGAACTAAGATCAGAAAGAACGCAAGCAATTTACCGATTAATCTCTCCGCCGTCGGCGTTACTTTAAATTTCTCGTATTATTTATCGACTTCTGTTTCACTCTTAAATCATCGTGCACAATGCTTGTAATGGCGATTAACCAAGGTAATTGCAACATTTCTGCAAGCTGTTATATATTACAGAGGAGAAATTGGGAAAACCGTTGTTATCCTCCCGTACGTAAGATTTACTGCTGTATATACATTACTTCTCACCCTTTCTGTCTCTCTTCTTTGAGCAAATGTACTACTGCTGTAGTGTGTCTTCACGAGATTCTATCATTTTTTTTTTAAATATTTTCCTTTTCTTCTGAAAATTATACCTCGTTGCGATAGACGATTTCGTTGGTTGGAATTTTAGAAAATATTTAACAACGTTGATACAACGTGAAAAATGTGTGTAGATGGTGGATTTTTACGGAAATTCGTATTTTCATAAATATAATTAAATATCGTGTTATCATGAATACTTCATTTTATATATATCATATATATTTCGGCATACTGTATACTTTTTGTAAATTTTTGAAACTTAATAATTTTCATAATAATTGAACATTTCATTTCCAAATTAAAATTAAATCACCGTTGAAATTTATCAAAACAGAATGGAATATGGAATTCCTCTCAGGCTCTCAACCAATCAATGTCACTTTTACTTTCATTTATGCAGATTAATGAAAATTGGAATTTTAAAAATATCCAAGGACAAATGAGCTAATTCTTGCGTCTACGTTAATCATAATAATCGAAGAGGTTAGTCAACGTTTTAATATAATAATAATATTCTAACTACCCGAAGTATTATACATTCGTGACACGACCAATTACCATTCTTCCCGACAACACGCACAAATCAACTTACATAGCCTTCAAATACTACTAACATTGTGTTATAAATGACAGTAATTACTAAAATTTAGGGTACTTGATTTTATTTTGTATTTTCCTTTCTTCGTGATCGAATAAAAAGTTCCAAATTCAATTTTAAATCAGCCCCAAAGACTCGATGATACCAGTTAGGAGGGAGGAGAAATTTGGAGATGAAATAAATTTCTGTAGCATAGTTAAGCAAGTTAAGTCGTGTCACGAAGGTTATTTCATTTCACCCCATTAAAATACGACTTTCAAAAAAAAAAAAAAAAAAAAGAGGAAAGGAGGAAAGGAGAGAGGAAGGAGATGAAGAAAGATATGTATAATACGTGATACGCTGGACCAGGTGCACAAGAGTAATACGACATCGGTCGGGGCGCGTTAACGAGAGCTACGATCTACTTGATCAATACTCTAGAGATATCACTACCTACGCCGGACTACATTATCGTGGAGCCTTTAGCTTTAGTAATTAGCGTGACTCACTGTATTCCCACGCCCAGTAATCACCAGCACCCGCCGTAGGCAGCACCGTGCTCCATGCTTCTATGTGTAAACAGAAAGAAGGAAAGAAAGAAAGTATAAAAAACTGAACCATGCTCTGTAAATGTATCGGCGAGCGAAAATGATCGAAAACGACCCTTCCACCTGGACTTCCATCTTTTCATTGGAACACAATTTGATTTAATTCAGTGTGATGAGGCGAGTTGATCAACTATGAGAAACAAAAGGTGAAAAGGTGTAAATCGTACCAACAGATTTTTGTTTTTCTCGTTGGTGACAGAGTGTTCTTGAAACTGATCTGGTTTCATTTTACTCGCGTGAATCAATCGTCTGTAGAATAATTGTGATATTTTTTTAACAGCCAATTAAATTAATCTATCAAAATATTATACATGATCCATGTCTAACAATACTAAGACTAAAGGATTTAATTTACGGGACTGTTTAAAGGAAATAGCTAATCTCAAATATTTAATCTATTTCTGTTGGATGAAAGTCATAGTCTTTAATGTATAATACAAGAGAAGAGGTTGTTTGATGCTACATCAAAATTCATCAAATTTTGGTAAATGACTTATTGAAAATATTAACAACTAATACTCTCACATATTTTCAACGTTAAAATCATTATATAATTCATCACACTTAATGTTTCAAGAACATCCCATAAGTAAAAAAAATTTCTACCCTAAAGTAGTCTTAAACTATCATATTATACTAAGAACTCTAATCTTCCAAACGCTCTATGAAGTTGATATTATCTATTAAAATTTCTGCACAACGAGTTTCTCATTCTTTCTCTTTTACTTTTACTTTTATTTTTGTTACTCAGTGTATTTTATAAAAATTACACAGTGAAAATTGGAAATCATTTCTACCAACTGTTGGTTTATTTATCGCTTCTGTCAGAAAAATATCATTTCTATTTTCCTCGATCTTCAGTGAATGAATATACAGTGATTACAAAAAATATTCTGAAATATACACTTATTTGATAAAGCATTTTCTAGTCAGAGAATTCTAGGATTAAATATATTAGACTTTTAGACATTTTTCAGAACTTTGTGTAATACTTTATGTAACCACTGTATATTTTTAGATTCGTTGCAAATTTCTCCAATATAATTACGATTCTCCAAATCTCATACACATTTAATTTGAAATAAATTTTAAATAACGTCCTTTTTAATTGAATTTACTCTGCAATTTACAAGCTCCTATTAAAACGAACGAAAATCACAAATAACTCGAAGAACAAACGAATTACCATTATACAAATTATAGAAACTACACAGCTCCTCCCCCAACGAATGTACATTCACAAAAAGTTTCTACAAGTATCCAAACACACTTTCGCGAACCACCGCATATCAAATCTGTCTTCTTTTTCATCCAAAAGACACCACAATACAACGCACGCGTACGAAACTCTGCCAGTCGTATCTCCATAATCCAAAAAAAATATCTCAAGTATAAATTGCAAGGCAACTCACGGTGAGATATTTAAACAGTGGTCGACACACGATCGAAAATACATTTTCCAGCGTTTCTTCTCCTCGTGGTCGGCGAATTATCGCGTTCTCGCGTTGTCTGTGTCGTATACGACCCTCTGGCTTCAACTCAAACCGATATACTGACTCCGCTTTGGATACACTGGCTTTCACGCGCGGTCATCTCGACCATTGAAATCCCACGGAAATGATTTCGATCGTTCGACCCTGTCGCGCAGCTCTAATAACTTGTTGTGATTCGCTGGGACGCGCGAATTGTTCTTCATGTATCGAGAAACTAATATAGACGAGGACTGGCCTTCCTGGAATTTCATCGAACACAACGCTTGTTGTCGTTCATGAAAATGGCACCTCGCGTAGAAATTTTTTTGCAGAGACTCGCAAATTTCTTCGAAAGGATTTTTCGTTCGCTATTGTCCAGAAACGATGTTTCCATTATGTGTGTGATGTTGCTCTTTACTCGTTCAATGTTCTGCTAATTCTGTATCAGAGTGTCTATTAAACTAATTATAATTATCAATAAACTTCTATTATTATGCCACTGTATTACGTTATAATTGATTAGGTTATTGAATAAATTCAGTCTCTGTTATCCATTTTAAATGGGTTACTGTTGTCTATTAAAGTATTACAAATTATTAATGTCCTCTAATCGCTTATTTATTATCTATTTCTAAGTGTGAAAATAAACAAAAGTAAAATGAAATGCCTTGCCGATTCATTGATTGAAGCGCAGTTAAGCGCAGTTCATAATTCATTCTGTATTTCGATTAAGTTATGTCGAAACGTGTAACCATGGGAAACAGTAATCGATTGATATTTAAACAATAGCATGTTACCACGTTGGTAAAATCCGCCAATGAAACGCGACTATTTTAGCTGAATTAATCGAATGTTTACGGTCCGGAATTACAATCAGATCATGATCGGATTGGCGAACCATGACTAAACACCACCATTAACTAAGTGATCCATTGAAAATCGAAATGGTTAGCCATTGTGGTAGGATTGTATTGTGAATTTAATGCGTCTGATTACTGAAGCATAATGCGGAGAATTTTGAAAAATGGATACGAGTACTTGTACAAATTCAATTCCAATCTTATTTTGTTTACATTAGGTGTATTTAGTTTATTTGAGAGACATGACTGACCTATTATAGTTAATTGTAGTTAACATTAGAAGGTCGATTTTTCGAAATATATTCACTTTTATAATTTCATACGTGAAAGTATATAATTTAAAACTTTGAATTTTAAGATTGTGAAAAATTTGTTCAATCCTTCTTAATTTAAGGAGAGTAATTATATCAGTATAGTCTTTGTAGAATTCTTAAAAGAATACTTGATTTAATTACCACAGAAAATTGAAAAGCTGTATTGTATTAAGAGGCATGTCTGACCATTCACTGACTATTACTACTCATCTATATTTGAATTTAATATATATATATATATTTAATATTATTTTATTATATAACATTTATACATATATTTAAAATTATCTATTTTCGTAAAATTTTCTTCCATTAAATTTAAATTTTGTCATTTTCCACCTAGGTTGTATAATTTTATGAATTTTAAGTTCTTGAAAGATTAACTAATTCATTCGTTTGTATTATCAGTTTTTTGATTCTACTGGTACTGTGCCTTGAAAAATATTTGTACCCACAGTGAGCACACATTTCCATCAGGAAATAATAAACTAACAAACAGAAAATTATTGGTAGACACAATAATACACGTTGACGTACATAAATCATTAGATGCGAGAAATGCAATTATCGACTCCGTTAATATAATTGAATATAGTTGTACGCACTAATCACATTGACTCCAGGGTATTTCCCATTTCCAATCTATATTTCTATCAACAGCAATGAATCGCTGATATTTCTCCGCGCACGAATTTAAAAGTGGAATGGATCCATTAATGACGTCGAGCAATAGTGAATCAACGATTAATCGCTTTATCGATCCACTTTTAATCCATCTACAGCACGAAAATAGTGTTTCATTTCCTTTTGAACGAATATAGAATATGAAACACAATAGACTGACATTGAAAATGAATTTAAAAATTAATTTCAGTGATCTTCCAAAGATCTTTTAACTGAAAATCGAAGAAACATTTCAGACAAACGGAATAGAAAGTTAAGTCGGGTAACTAGGTTCAATATTAACAAGTGCCAATATTAACATGAACAGCAAGTTTCCATGCAGTTCGAGACGTTTAATCGTTGACCTAGATCCGTCGGAGCCGCGTCCTAGCTACAACTAGGAAATAAGTACAACTGTCAACTCGCGCTGTCTTTGATGTTTTATACAACGAGATCGATTCGTCCCACGGTCGTTTCGCGACGAGCCAGTTTCCATCGCCAAACTAGCTCGTTCGCCGCAGCTTGGAGCAGGGAATTTTCAAATTAATCTCGTTTCGCGGGTTTAACGTCGCATTTTTATCCTCTGATCGCGTTTAAATCCAGAAAATGGAGAATCGTCGGGGACGAATTCTCGTTGGAAGACTGGCAAAACTTGCCGGAAGTCGTTGAATCGGATGATGGAGAAAGGCTCGCTGGATATTTGTACGTGGTGCTTTCGCGCACGCGGAAGTGGGTCAACAATCAACGCGGGCCTTAAGGAGGAAATACCACCTCTGCAATTTACTGATCTCGATGTTCGCGTTTCTCATTTACCAGCGTATCCGCTAATTCGTCTATCTCATTTAACTACTTCATTACGCTGACAAATGTTTTGTTAATTCACTGCATAACGCGTGTTTGCGCCCGCCTCGCGAAATCCACGTCGCACTCGACAAGGCAAACAGCGAACTATTCGTTATTGCAAGGTCTCTCTCATTTATTGCGTTTGGGAAGAGGGGAGGAAGAAGATCGCACCCGACGTCTGCTGCTGGCGTTCAAGTGCGAGCCAAGTACAAATTTTCTTCGTTCTCTCATGTAAATGCACTCGTCTTCCGGGCGTGAAAGCGGCCAAGTTTTATTAATTAAGCTGAAAAAACATGCCGGCTCGCGAGAGTGTTTGAACACTCATTACGTGAAGCTTCTACGTCTGCGTTGCACGTGTCGTGGAGGACATTTTGATATTTTACTGGTGTTAGTAAAATTACTATTACAAGCTATTACATATTATATATATTCTAATATAATATAATATTATTATATAATTATTATATATTAATATATATTATATTAGCTAAGTTATTATATATTACAAACTATTGGTAACTGTATGTTATAAATTGTTAGTATTAATAATAGTAGACTGTGCATGTTTGGAAAATTTCAGGTTCTGAAAATTTAAACAACGTATGCAGGATGATTCACGAAACTGTAACTTCTTTTGATTAAAGTTGGAAGAATTTGGATCATGTCAAATAAAGAAGAAGAGTTACACATTCATGATTAAATTTTTTTCTAAATCTTTTGTAGCGATACACGCGCACTTTTATGATACCGGGCTAGTATTTAAATAGAAACTTCCCATTTATTCACACATATCAAAATATTTCGTCATT